AACTTTCAACTCGGGAACTACAGAAGTTAGGAAGCTGAAAATTTAGGGGAACGTTTCCCACCCATATGCGACCCCAGCACATTTAAATTCAGCCTTCCCGTACCCACGGGTAACATGTACGGCCTCGTAAGAGTTTAGGCGGGTAAAATTATTATCACGGGAACCACAGAAGATAGAAGGCTGAAATTTTGTGGGCATGTCCCCCGCCCACGTGCTACCCAGAAAATTTAAATTCAGCTTTTCCCTGTCCGCGGATAACACGAAAGGCCCGTGAAAATTTTGGTGGATAAATTATTATATTGGGAACCACAAAATCTACGAAGCTGAAATTTTAGAGTAATGACCCCTTGTGGGATAAATTTTGGTGGAAAAAATTATTATCTTGGGAACCACAAAATCTACGACGCTGAAATTTTAGGGTAATGTACGAATTTGCAAATTCAAATTCAGCGTTCGTGCGCTCTCGGGTGTGACCTGCGACCCCATGAAAATTTTAGCGGGTAAATTATTACTTCGGGAACCAAAAAATCTACAAAGCTGATATTTCACGGTAATGGCCCCTTGTCCAAATACGACCTTGCAAACTCAAATTCAGCGTTCCCGCGCTTTCGGATATTGCTTACGGCCCCATGAAAGTTTTGGTGGGTAAATTATTATCTCGAAGACCATGGAATCTAAGGAGCTGAAATTTTAGGGCGATGACCCTCTACCCGCAAATTCAAATGCAGCGCTCTCTCGCTTTCGGGTATCAGCTACGGCCCCATGAAAATTTGACGGGGAAATTATTATCTCAGGAACCATAAAAGCCAAGAAACTGCAGTTTTGCGGTAGTGCCGGTGCGTGAAATTTTTAACTATTTTTCAACTTTTCAACTATTTTTGTACAAAGTACAAAGCAAAGAGAATCATGAACAGGCAATCGTTCGGGGACGAATTGCACAAAACGCATGATCACACCGGCTAGTTTGGTGCGGGTTGTTATTTCTTTGTTATTTAGTGCG